TCCAAGTAATTTTATATTTATATATAGACACATGTTATGAACAACAGATGTCCTAAAACTGACCTTGAGGACATTTTCATCTATTCTGTTATTATGCCATTTTTCTAGTTGACACCTATTTTTCCGCAGCCCTGAGTGTTTGTTTGAAGTTAATTCAACATCAATAAACATGTTCATACTGTTATGAATGAAGTTTTGGCAAGGTGAATATACTTTCAGGTTGTGTTTACACTCTTTTTTTCCCCCTTCAATTTCCTCCATTTTTAAATTCCTTTCTCTCAATAATTTTTTTCTTTACTACAGAGAAAAAGGGTTATCATGCAGCAGACCACTAGACATGCCCAGGGAGAGTAGGTTTACTGTGCTCCCTGGAATAAACAATAAAAATAAACAATAAAAATAAACAATAAAAAAGTTGCAAAGTGCCTGAATGAATGGAGTTCGATACTCCACACCAATGTTAAGGACAAACCTAGTAGAACTGCTGACCTGCCACATAACTGCAATTTAGTCTTATGAAATCCCTTCCCTTCCCCACACCTCTGGAACACCAATGTGCAGCAGAAAGAAAAACATATTTTGTCTCTATGATTCTTTCCCTTCTGTTTTATTTTTTCCATGCTGGTGAATCTTACTGCTGGTCACAACTACAATTTTCAGCATAAAGTCCCCAGGACAGACCAGATCACATGAGAATAGTATGAATGCCGATGAAATCTTTTATCAGGATGTTTGGGCTAAATATTGCCATACACCTTGAAGGTGTTACATCTCAACCAGATGATTTTCTTGCTTACACCGGTTGCCAAACTACCCTATTCTTCATAGTTTTCTGTTTTGCATTTTACCCCCTTATTTCTGTCACAGGAGCAGGAGAGACATAGAGTCAAGGCTTTCCTCCAGCTTGCAGCACCTAGTATTCTCTGACCTGTGGAAACAGGAGTAATGTGATCCTGTAAGTAGAGACTGTTTCATAATGTGCGCACACGAGGGAGTTCAAGTGTTTTTGGCATTACCTAACTCCCAAGTACTCAGCTTTTACCTCTTATGTTCTCTTAGCAACATGTGGTGCAATATATATATATATTTATATTTTTATATATATATATATACATATATAAAAATATATATGCAATTTCCTAGGTTTTTAACACAAGAAGATACAAATAGTGCCACATGCAAATAAAACAAGCCCACCCATGTGATCCATCAGGATTTGAAATATAAGAATCAGCAGACATTGGTGGTGATTGGGTTAAAGGTCTAGGGTCACCAGCTAGCTGCTCTGTTGGATGGTTTGGCTTTTCAGACAAGCCTTGGAGAAGAGAGGCACCACACTGAATCATAAATCAAACAGCGTGGGAGAAGAAGTGTGCATTTTATGCATGTTTAAATATACAAGTTTAGGAGATCTGGCTTGAAAGTGAGCCCAAGAAATCACAAATGACATCTCTCCCTACATCATGCTCCTCTTGGATCACCAGTGATCCCATTTTTCCTCTGTGGTAAAAGATGTGACTGGGCTCTTTTCTTCTAGCTCAGATGTTCATTCTTCTCTCCCTACAAATGATATGGTAAGAAATACAGGAAGAGCACATCTCACAGGGAGGTTAAGTGTGGGATTACCTGAGAACCAGATAAAAAAATTCTCTGAAGTTAGAGACAAAAAAGAGAAAAAGTCGTCTATTTCTGACAGAACAACATAGAGAAAGATCAGAGTGGCATGAAAAGCTGATGAGTAAAGAGCCACAGAGGAACATTAACATTTTTTCAACTTCAGGGTGAATTTCCTACTGATCTGTAGACAAAAATTACCAAAGACCTTCAAAGTAATTGCAGCCAGTTTAATGATAAAAGGTTCTTCAGAGTGAAAGAGCAGAAGTGTTTTCTTGAGGCTTTGCCTGCTCTGCCTGGCCTTCCCATGTCCAAAGACACTTTTCCAATAAGGGTTTATACTCTTATTGAAAGCTGCCAAAACTGTGGCTCTTATTTCTGGACCACACCTCAGGAGAGTAGAAACACAGACACCTTCTCCCTGCTTCAAGTGACAGAGACCCGTTGATTGCATTGCTTGTAGGCTGGATCTCAGGCTAGCCTAGCCATCAGGCTTCACTGTGCTACTACCAGTGGTGAGGAAAACAGCAACAAAAGCATTGTCCCTCTCACTCTCCTGGCATGGAGCAATTCTTCCACAACCTGGGCATCTCATCTCTCACAAGGTCAAGCTCCCATGACGTGCAGAGCCGCTCTGCTATCAGCAAATGCAATATTATCTGCTTTGGTCTATAGTAATCCACTGAATGCAAATAATAACTTACAGTTTGTGCACCTGGATTTCAAACAATGGCTCTGCAATATCATCTGACATCTGTGAAATCTACATACCATGTGCTGGAGAGGAAGGTGCAGAGGGCACTACGAAAATGAGACTCCAATGCATTTTATGCCACTGGAAAGGAAGGATACACCATGTTTTGCCCCTGTCTGGCTTTATCTGAACTCCTTTTCCTCCTGTTTCTTTTCCATTTGTTTCCATATGATGAAGTATCTCCAGTGTGCAATGCTGAAATGGAAGGTGCAGCTCAGAGCCCTGACCTCACACGGTCTGTCTCCAGTAGCGGGGCCAAAAACAGGTTGCTGTGATCTGCCTTGTGCAGCTCCTCCTGACAGGGAGAGCATCCTTCCCACCTTCCCCAGGCTGAGCAACTCAGTTCTGCACTCTGGGTCCTTCTATCAGCCCTGCGCTCTGAGCCACGGCGTGTGCAGAGTGCCAGTGGAGAAAACATTCAGAATGTGTTTTCTGAAGCGTCTGCTGCTGAGGGGGGAATTTAGCAAGGTAGGGCCTGGTCCATTGAGGAGCTGCATAGAGCCACACAAGGGGAAGCTGAAGGACAAAACCAGGTGACACCTAATTCATTCACTTGGAATTATCTCCCTGTCAAAAAAGCCTGTTCTGAATTTCAGGAGAGCTTACTAGGGTTTCTGATAAAACTGTAACCTCTGATTTCAGTAAGTTTGCTCACAGTTTTAATCCAAACATGTAAACAATTGTTTCTATAGCAGCTGTAAAGCACCAGAAGCGGCAGAAATGTGAGGGCAGAGCTTTTGCTGTAGTAAAGTGTGCCATAGAGCATACGTGTCAAGGAGAGTGAGACTCCTCACAAAGTCAGGGAATAAGAAAACCAAAGGTGTCATGTGAGTTTGAAGTTGAAGACAGGTGATAATTCAACACAGTGGAAAGTTGCAATATGTGCACTCAAGTGCAGCATTGGCTAGATGCTGTGGAGAGTGCTTTTTAATTTGGAAGCCTCTTCCCTTCAATTCCAGCAGCTACCTCTCTGATAGAAGCTAGGAGATTTTTTTTTTCAGCATTAATCACTGCATACCATAATTTCCCAACCATATTGCCTTTTCAGGTTCAGATGTAACAAGTTCCACTGCTATGCAGTCATTTTAAAAGGACTTACAACAGTGGCTGCTGGAATATATTGAAAAAATATTGAATATACATTTTCATTGAAATATATTGAAAATATATAAATATATTGAAAAATTATTAGTAGCAGCTTAATTGAATTATTGACAACCTTCCTCTTCATGTCATAAATTTGTCAGTGGAGTAATCCAGCATTCCCACAAACTTCATGAAGGATGCTATGCAAATTGTAATCCTGAATATAAATTTGCAGAGAGCATGCCTGTGCACCTTATGGCTAAGATCAGGAGGAAGCCATGGTTTGATGATAGCAGATCAAAATCATGCCTTTCTCAGGTGTGTATGCAGATAGTGTATTAATTCTCACAAGTATGATATCTAAAAGTATGAGTGAGGCACTAATTTGGTTAAAGCCAGCATAAGGTAACTGTAGTACAGAAAAAAATGAAGAAAAAAAGCAGAATAATTTATGTCCATTTCAATTCCACATGGTACAGCTTCTCTCACTGGTGTTTGATTTAGAGTCTGTTGAGTTGCCCATTGAGAAAACTAACCTTTAACTCCTTCCATAATAGCTATTCTGGGCTCTTATGTTCCCAGCAGCAAAATTTATTTCCCACTTTCAGGCCAAAGAAAATTGTTCCAAAGAATGTAGCTGAGACATGCTGATGTCTGCATTCTCTATATGTGCACACATGCATATCTGTGCATGCATGTGTATGCATTCTCCTTGCTAAGGACACAACTTTGGTAGGATGATACTGATGCTAAAATCTTATTCATGCCACCATTTACCTCAACAACATTTCTCTGAATCTATTCCCTTCTAAAAGGAGCAAAGTCTCAGCCACTCCCTTAATTGATTAGAAATGTTGATCCTGATGTCATGCCTCGTCTGTATTCACAGTCTCTGAGCTGCATAAATTCATCCTACATAATTTTCAGATTGAGAGGTTTTTTGTTAATTTAATTAAAGTTAATTTTCTTAATTTTGCTAGAGAATTACTGTTTGGGTTGGATTTTTTTAATCTGTATGTGTACCTTTAAAAGATATTTAAAGTCACACAATTACTGGTAAAACTGATTTTCATAAAACAGAGTATTATATCTACATATTCTACTACAAAAATTTGACTGTCAACATTTTGATTGAAAGCGTTTTTAAGAACCCAAGTTCTGTTCCACTATATCTGTTAAAATTCTGTCTTATTCTGTTTTCTTTTTTTTAAATTGTTTTTATGAATAAAGGAGATTATTTATATGCATAGTTATGTATCTGTACAGTATTTCCTGGGAAAATGCCTTTGCAAATTCATTGATCTAAAAAGGAGTTTCTTTTCCTCCTTGGGAACTTAATTCTCCAAAGCAGAACTGCATGCCTACATTGAGTTACACAAGAATAATTCCTGTTCTTTAGATCTTTACTGTCAAGCAAAAAGAAGATTTACTTGACTTCAGCATGGGCTTAAATAAAAGAAAGACAGGAAATTACTTTAGAAAAGCAGAGCAGCACCCTCTAGTGTGGACACATTTATATTAGTAAATAACACAGCTTTATGAATACCTGATTAACTTGATGCTGACCCACTAGACAGCCCAATGTCTGATTCAGATGTGGTTACTAAACTGCTCACTGGCCTCAGGTATCTTGGTTCACTTTGTCTCTTTTTCTTCACCTGTAAAAAATCAGATAAAAATAACCCTTTTAAAAACATGTTACACTGTCCTAATGGCAAGATCCTCCTGCACAAAAGGTGAACAGGTGAACATGATGATGGCCAGATTGTCCTCTCTACCTCCAGAAAATGTACTGTGCAGTGCCAGGGCTAGGCAACCTCTCTTGTGTGGTGCTTCACATCATCTTTCAGGCAAAAACTTTGCTTTTTTTCACAGTGTGATTTGCACCACCAAAGCTGTGCTTTATGTACTGAGATCATAGTTTCTACTGCCAGGTTTTCAAAACTCATCGATAGTGGATTGGTATTTCTACCCCTTGGAATGTCTGCTGCACATTCGCTTACGTAGTCTGGGATACCATTCTCTGACATTAACAAATTCCATTATCTTGCATCTTATTTTGGGACATAGTTAAGGACTGGACTTGCTTGGGGAAAATGAGTGAGAAAGAAGGAACACAGATTTGGTCCCTGTATGATTATCTCTTCTAACGAGGTAAATAGAGCTTCAAAATGCCTGAGGTCTTTACAGAGGCAACATTTAGCTATAAAAGAAACCAGGCGAGGAGCTGATCTTTCATTTCCTCTTTGTATTGCCCTTTGTCATTCTCCACCATTCCTGTTGGTTATTACTGAGCATAGCTATTGCTAAAAGCTGGAGATTATCATATGTGCCAGAGAGAGAATTTCCCAGTAGTTTTAGTAAACTGGAAGTGATGGGGAGGGGTGGGAAAGAAGATCAGTGTGCAGAACTCCTTCCTTAGAGTGATCTGCCTGGAGTTTGTCTGTGACTGTGCTCATCCTGCATGTATATGTGATAGGTTCATACATGGGTATATATTCTTTTCAAGCCATATTGCCCTTCCAGTGCATAGACAGATCCATAAATCCCAGTGGAGTTAGATAGGAAATCTCCTGTTGACACTGCATTGACGGGACTGTGTTGCAGGACTGGACCTGCCATGTAATAACCAGAAACTTCTTTGCTAGAACTTGCTGGGTGCAAACCACCAAATCTTGAATGTCTCTGACTCACACATGAAGTGACAAACTAATAAAGTAATTAAGGACCTGTCTAGGCTGGACAAATACAAAGCAGACAAGGAAATAAGCACCAACACATAGACAGTTCAGATGCACTGCTGCCATCTCAGTAGCTGGTTTTCCCACTGCTCAAGCACATGCAAGAATACCAGGTCCAGGCCACTCCCTTTCTAGTTAACCAAGTATTTTATTATTTTGGGAGGTGATATAAACCTTTCTTCCTGTCTCCCAGTGAGGTTCTTCCCTCCCTGCAGCCAGCATTTATGTCAGTCAAAAGTCCCCTCCCTTCTTCAATTCTTCAGCCCCTGAGAGAAAAAAAAAATTACCTATCAAAAATAGACCAGAGGAGACAGCAGCTTTTTTTTGTTTTCCCTCTGCAATAGGATCCAAGGCATAAAGTCAGGAGAGAGAAGTCTCTTCACCTGTGAAAGACAGGAACTGGGACATACTCAATCTCCAGGTTTTTCTTAGCACTATTCCTGCTTTTGGGTATGCAGTGATCATACTTCAAATCAGAAGTCTGTAGTTTCAAAAAAGATGGGAAAAGATATTTTGTCTGTCTCGTAATCAGCAGTCTTCTAAGCCAAAATTCAGATTTTCAGCAGGATTAAGTTAACACATGCTAATCTCCAGCAGGCAGAGAGGAGTGAAAAAATTGTGAAAAGTAGTAAGATTAGAGATGTGCTGTAAGGAGACAGAACATTCTAGGGGTTCACAAACAATATATTATTGGATTTTCTACCAGTTACATATTTCTTCTTTTATTTAAAATAGTGTTATTAGAGCATGATTTTGTATTGGGATCAAGTCTTTCACTGATGGGACCAGTGTTTTGGACACCTCTGCACTACTGGCAGGAGGACTTGCACAAGTTCCTTATGCACAGTCACAAAAACCAGCAACATGAAAGTGACGACCAGAGATTAGAGATTAGAAATATTCTTGGATGTAGTTATCACAACTCTCCACTGTTTTAAATGTCTTTTCTTTTATTTCAAGCGGAATTTATAGATTCTGATCCTGTAAGAATTTAACACCCCAATTATCCCTAGCCTTGCTTTGGACCAGTTGCCGGTTAGGGTAGGACTCTGCATGCAGAAAAGTGGCCAAAATGTCATGCCTGTGGCATAGGAGGATACTTTTTTGAACATGGTGCAAACCTTTCCTTAACAAATGTTTAGGTCTTATTAGCTCTGTCTTCCAGTATAGTAGTTTTTTCTGTTCAGTATAGTTGCACTTAATCTGTGGATCAGGCCTTCTGACTGGCAGTACATCCAGAAAAAAGGGGACGCGTATACTGCCCAGCTACCATAAAGCTGGATACTATTATTGTTCTATCTATGTCTACCAGCTGGGACCAAGCCCTTTGTGAGCAACATAAGGCTAAGGCCACATATAATCTAGGATTTAGCCAGAGGATTTTATCTTCTTCAAGACAATTAATATATTTCATAAGGCTAGGCGAAGCAAACTACTTGGACATGAGCTTGTGATTATTCCTCATTCAACAGATTAGCTTAGCAGGCCCAAGTGATTTAGCTAGAATTTTAGGAGGCTCTTTCTGATCTGAACTATGGGTTTTTAAAGCCAAGGCCCTGCATCTCATAGGATGGAAAACAGTTTTTTCCTAGTGTTATTGTGTGGACAATACAGAAGCAGTTAAAAGAGGAAAAAAAAGAACAGCAGCATTGGCGGGGGGGTGGGAAGAAAAGCTGCAGAAAATCTGAATTTAAACCAACAAAATAGGATAGTTGGTAATTCAGAGTGGTATTTTTCCTATATGGAGCAAAGTGATTTTTTATGTATTTGCTTTGTGATATGCCTAATACAGAGAGGAAAATACCAGGCAGGTATGTGCCTATGCTTCTGTTGCCTTGTGGCACAGAACTGAGCCACAGACATGTCTAGGTGAATCAAGACACTTGATTCTTTTGCTGATACAAGGTTAATAACCTGTTAGCTTGGTGTGCCTGTACTTGGTTGCTGCTTGGGAAAGTTTTCTTCCAGTCTGCGTTCATCTGCTTCTCATAGAGCTATGCCCACACTAGCCCACAGCTGGGTCCCTCTGTGGAGCCTGAGAACCTCAACCAAGACTGAGAACCATGCAGGAGCATTCCAAAGGAGGATGGAGCACAGAAACACTGACGCAATGTTGGACATCATTCCCTGAGGAGAAAGAATACATACTCTGATGGATGGCAAGACAAGGAAATGTCAGAAATTTCATCATCTGTGCTAGCAGGATTTTCATACATGTTTCTAGCTCTGAGACACACTCTGGGGAGGACACCAGAGGCTGACCAGATGGCATTGAGGATATGAAACACACACAAGGCAGATGCTTTCAACAGCCCTGATCCTCGTTATGCTTTCTGAACAGATCTCAGAATGATTCTCTGTACTGCTATTACTCAGAGCAAGGGCTGGGACAGTAATGCACCAGCTGCACCTCTTTTCTGGGTACTCTCCATATTTGGGCTTTTCCACCATCATTTACATCTTGTATGAGCCAGATTCAGAGGGAGATTTCACAATCTTTTGATAGCTATGTGCTTACTGAACAGCACTGTGTTAGCAGTCTCAAAAAAAAAAAAGATACTGTTTCTGATTGTGTGAAACAAGGAAAGTTTCTCAGAAACATCTCTTTGGAATGCTGTCAAATAATTTCTGTACCAAAGTTTATCAAATCACCAATCACCTAGACTGGCAGAACAACTTGCTTCATGGTGCTCCCTCAGTGGAATAGGATGTGACATTTTCAAGCTGTCACTCAGTGCTCTCGGCAGTCAGATTAAACAGAAAATGTAGAAAGTTCAGGTGTAATTGGCAATTGCTTTTAAAACACTTGCAGTTGCAAATCAGGATGAGACCTGGCAAACACAACACAGCCACGGTGGAACCTAAATGAAATTTCAGGAGTAAACTTCATCCAATGTGTTTCCTCTGCAATGCCCAATACACAGGAGCAATGTGGGAGACAAAGGAGGATACCACTAATAAATCACATGTGCAAGCACTAACTCACAGTGAAACCACTTATCTCATGGGTTGTTTCCAGTGATACAGGTATATGAAGATTTTACCACAAAGTTTTTTCATTGTGATAAACTTGTGTAGGCAAATCCTGTGTTATGGATAGGTGAACTGGTGCAGGATTCTCTTGATTCTTTCACATGTCTAAAATTTCTTCTTCTTAAACTGAAAGTGAAAAAGAAGGCCAGAACAGAATAGTATAAAATTATAAAACGTTGTACTCTGTGCTCACTCTAGATTTTTCTCACCAACAGTTTCATCAATATGTTTTAGTACTCTGCAGGTAGCAATTAATCTTTTATTAATTTATCGTATTAGGTTTCCCAGGAAAGCAGTCCAGACACAGAAGTGACCACTCTACTGCTCTTTGTTTCCTCAGTCAGGCAGGGCTGAGACTTTGAAAGGGTTTAAGAGTTTACTTATATTTCATTAACAGCAAGGAGAAAGTTCTGTTCCACCATAAATATGTACCAGCAGCAGAAAACAACACAATACTGAGAACAAGAATTTCATTACTGAATTAATGGTTTTTTCCTAGTTAGAGGTGCATTTTGTCAGTATCATCACCATGTCTACTTGTTCCCTCTCCTTCTCTGACCCCAGAACCAGCTTGTTTTGTGGGGCTGGAGTCCCTGTGTTTCACTTGAAACATCTGTAGCCTTGTGTCTAATCCAGCCAAGACATCTGATGCCTGTCTACCTGGTAGGACACCTCCAGCCTGCAATTCACCCAAAAGAAAGCTGACTAAGATGAGTAAATCGTGTTGGAGGTGCCTCTCTTTCTGACTTTCCTTCCTCAGATGCACAGGCCATTTGGAGACAGCAGTCAGACTGCTTAACTTATATTTTGGTTGTTATTTTGGAGAGAGAGAGCTCCATGCCTCGGTGACGTTCTTCCTGCAGCACCTGTCTATGCAGTGCACT